CTGGAAATTTATATTGCCCCTGTTTCCCGTTGGGGCATTTGATTTATCGTTGTCTCTTTTTAATTCTGACATTAAGTTCCAAGCTGAGTTCGGAATTTCGTGTCTGTCAGTCCCTTTTTGTCCTCTTGCTCTAGAGTTATCAGGTCTTAGCAAGCTTTACCACATTCGTTTTCGGACGCACGGATAGCAAATACCAGCAGAGGCAAACGGAAGAATTCGAGAGAGGGAAGTGTACAGGGGAGGGTCGCGCCAACGGCCTCGGAAGGGGTTCGGAATGGGCGAGAGAGGGTGATTAGAGAACAGTTCCCCTCCCGTTTTCCCCACGCTGTCCATAATCTTTCCAAAACACTCCTTTGTGAACGAAGAGGACTCGGCGTCCTTGAGGGAGTAGGACTCTGTTCATTCCTAAGCTGACAGTGCCGGGGGAGCTATGCGCCGGCCGGACCAGTCATCACCTGTACCGCTCCCTGCGCGTGGTTACGGGAGCGAGCGTGATCAGGAGATTAAAGATAGACCTGCGGCTGGTTCACCGAGCTTCTTAACTCCCTCTGCACTCTCTGCTTAGGGGTGACAGAGTTCAGCCCACAGAACACGCGCACGCACGCACGCACGCGCACACACACACACAAACACACACACAAACACACACACACACACACACACGCGCGCACGCACGCACACACGCACACACACACGCACGCACACACGCACGCACAAACATGCACACACACACGCGCGCACACACACACACACACACACACACAAAGTGGGATCGCGTGAACCAGGGCCACAGATAAGGTAGTGACTGGAAGACGGTGGAGACGGTCTCCTGAATTTTCAACACTCGCATCGGCGAACTGCAAATGGGAAGATGTGCTTCGCAATTTATGCAATTTTTTGGCGGAAATGGCTCTTTTTCGGGAACAAGAATGGCAAAATAATTATGCACATGTCAGGACACCGTGGTGTCAGTTTCTAAGTTGTCTGAGTGCACTCTATTGCTTAGCGCACTATTTTTATCGTGCGAAGTGGCTCGGCATCTCTGCCATTCATACTAACCTATACCGGAACCGACAAAAACGGTGGTTCTAGAGTTCCAATCACCAGCAGCGCATTTCGCCTTAGTGCCAAGTGGAATCTTCAACATGCGGATTGCCAAGACCATGAATATTCTGTCGGTAGCGCCTACACACCGGTGATCTTCCTTTGTTGTGGGCATACATGTGACCACTAGCTTCAACGGACCAAAGACACTACGAACCACCTTCTCCTCCATATGAGTGACGAGGAGAGGTCCTCTTGGCCATTCAGGACAGGTGTTCTTGATACGCAACCCTACCGAAAAAAAGCGGTATGAAATTTAACACGGTAACATTCAAACTGGATTATCGAACCGGGAACATTACCGTAAAATGTGCATACCGTAACAAAATCGTATTTCCACCGCATACCGTATTCTGAACTGGGTTACTGCATACCGTATATTGAACCGTGTTGTTGTGTATACCGTGTGCAGCAATGGATTCGGTAAGCGGTATGAAAAGGACGACGAAGTGGCATGAGGAGCAGCAGCGTTCGCTTCAGCTCCGCTAACACCACTAAATTCCTGCCATCAACTGGGTTTCCCGACCCAAATCTTTTACCTAAGGACGGCGACCCATCGAAAGACTTCCAGCAGAACCAAATGTAGGCGAGTCTTTCTTCTAATTCTCACGTCGAGAGGCCGCCGTAGGCCCGGACCCCGGGTAGGCAGAACTAGGCCTGCCCATCACCCCGCATTCTGAACATGGCGAGTACTGAAACAACGCTGATCGAAAGGTGCACCGAGAACGACGAAAACAGTAGCATGGAGCTAGAGACCAACAAGAACAACGCAAGAAAGGTGATAATTTCCGCGAAAAGATTCCGTAGTCAGGACCGGGACGATAGTTTTGAGATCAGCGATGACGAGATTAACAAGATAGCTAACATCAACGATAGTTCTCCTCCTGAAACGACAAACAGTTGGACGCGAGTCACATACAAAAAAACAAAAACCACAATGGGGAACCCACCTTAAGCGCTTTGACGAACCAAAGATTGTGATTGTGGTGAAACCCTCGACGCAAACCAGAATATCGAACATCTCACCGCGGATCCTCATGGACCAACTGAAACAGCTTTTTGCAATTCCTTGCAACAGAGACCGACTTAGCTACGATCCCAATCACAGGAACAACACCATAGCCATTACTGTTTACAGTGAGGCGCACGCAGGAGGCATCCTCCAGATGAGCACTCTGACGCTGGGTGACGGCACGGAGGTAGGGGTCCAAACATACAGATCCACCACGGGCCTCATGCCCAGAGGAGTAATACACGACGTGGATGCAGAGTTCACAGCACAAGACATTGTCGACTAGTCAGACTCTGACTACTGCAATGTCCTACATGGAAGACCCATTGGGAGGATAGGCACATTTCTTTTTACGTTAGATGGAAATAGAGTTCCTAGAAAGATCACGCATTACGGAAGACTGTTCAGAGTATACAAGTACAAACCAACAGCCGTCCTGTGCCTCAAATGCCACGGCATCGGGCATAAGGCAGCTGTCTGCACGAGAGAGCAGAGATGTAGGAGTTGTGGTGAACCTCACCCAGAAGGAGAACAATGTGAAGATACGTATTGCCCTAACTGCCATGTGTCGGGACATACAGCCTTCGACCCCAACTGCGAGACCAAAAAAAGCACGGACGCAAAGCTACAAAGAAGAGCACAGGCAATGACACAGACAAAAAGCAAAGCAACAAATGTGGCAAGTGCGTCTCCATGGAAGAGGATGGCTACTGCCCTGCACAACCAAGGCACAGTTAGAGGAAGAGCATCCTTTTACCAAAATCGCTTCTCCACCCTACAAGACCTCGAAGAGTTCCCGCCGCTGGAAAACACCGGCAGTACCAAGAAGGGCCCCACCGGCACCAACTGCACGACATACAAGCAGGATCTACCAAACGCCAATGCCAACATGGCCAAGAGAACGTCTTCAACGAACAAGACGTCGGTAGAAGCCAAAGAAAATCAACTAAAGGAACTTGAAAGACGTGTGGCCCAGCTCAAAGTGGAAATTGAAAAAGACAAACAAGAAGAAGAACGTGCCAAGCAACGCAGACAAACAGAACTGGAAAAAAAGAAGCAAGATGCAATCAAGAAGACTGTTGAAAAAACGATGGTGCTAATTCCCTCCTTTACAAAGAACGCAGCACTATCAGAAAACCCGCCGATCTGCGCGGTCACCGAAGCTACCCAAAGCGGGAATTGGGAAGAGAAAGTGCTGCGCTTCGTAGAAACACACGCTCAGCAAACGCAACAAACACAGCAAATGCTACACCAACAAATTCAGCAACAAATACAGCAGCAGCAACAGATGCAGCAGATGATGCAGCAATTTCAAATCATGTTCATGCAGTTCCAGAAATCGCAAGTACAACAATGCAGCATAGAGGATACCTCTATCCCCACCCACAATGCAGAACAAACCATCTAGGGATTCCCGCAAGACAAAGACACTCGATTTCCTCCAGTGGAACTGCCGGGGCCTCCGAGTTCGCAGGGCGGAACTTAATTTACGACTGCAACAGAAACCTAAAGATGCACTACTATTACAAGAGATAAATCGGGACAACATCGGTCTTAGAGGATACAGAAGCTTCACATCCCCCTCAATCATCCACAAAAGAGGCAAGAAAGAAATGGTCCGAGCCCAAGTTGCGGTGTACCCAAGAAAACCACTGCCATATGAGCAATTAGACACTACTCAATGGTGCAACCAGACCCATGAAATAGTAGCAGTCCGCACAACAGATAACGACATCAAGATCATCCTCATATCGGTATACTATACACCAGCACTTTTCACAAACGACGAGCACAGCTGGCTAACACACTTTGTTAACACGTATCCCAAGCACCACATCGTAATTGGGGGAGATTTCAACGCCTGGCACGCGGACTGGGGCAAGACCAACCCAATGAGAGAGGCGTCAAAATTCAAGAAGAATATGAAAAAGCAGGGCTCAACCTACTGAATGACCCCGAAATTAAAACCGGACTCGGGCAAGGGTCCAAACGGAAAGACACAACACCCGATTTAACCCTTGCATCACAAAAGTCTATAATAACCTGGAAATCCGATAATAATGACCCATGGGGAAGCGATCATTTTCCAATACACATAACACTAGAACTGGGAAGCAAACTTAAACTGAAAAGAAACAGCAAGACCATCATCTGGGATGATTTCAGAACATTCTTGAATCAAGAATACCACATAACTAACATAGACGAACTAACCCACGCTATGAAAGAAGCATCTGGAAAAGCGACAATTCAGAAAGCAGGAAACGCGGATGGCCCAAATCCTGACACACACCTTCTCTCAATCTGGCGACACAGACAGGAATTCATTGACAAATATAGAACATCAAGAAATCGCAAAGACTTAACTAAGGCAAACAAGCTTGCAAAGGAAGCACAATCTTACGCCGATAAGCTATGTATCGACAATTGGAACGACCTATGCGAATCATTTAACGAGCATACGTCAATAACACGAATGTGCAGTATTTGTAACTCTATGCTCGGAAAAAAGAAAGAGTGGGGTATAACATCCAATATAGCCCTACGATGCAACAAAACGCTAGAAGAAGTACTTGAAGAAACGGGCCCACTTTTCTTCCCTCAACCGGCAACCAAGCCGAACGAGATAATCTAAACCCCAGCAGTAGTAGAAGACCAACACCACTACTACTGCGACTTCACCGTCTGGGAGCTTGAAGCAGCAATTGCAAACGGCAGGACTAGAAGTCCTGCCGTTTGCAGGCCGTTTGCAGGAGAGACACTCCATTTTACTATATACGCAGATGACATCACACTCTGAACGACACAAGGCACGAAAGAGGAACAGGTCGAAACACTGCAGGCAGCACTTCACATCATAGAGAGTTTCCTAAAAGAGGTAGGCATGAAACCATCAGCAGAGAAGACTAAACTCCTCATATTTGGTAGAGAAAGAGACAACATTAACCCCACTCTAAAATTCGACGAGCTGACAATAGAAAAGAGTGACGAACACACCATCCTCGGAATCCACGTCAACACCAAACTCAATCCCGACAAATGGATCAAAAGAATGCGCGACACATGGAGACACGGCACCTCGATCATCAGAAGAATAGCGAATAAACACGGCGGAGATGGCGAGGGAATTGCCAGAACGATAGTTCAAGCGGCACTCATACCGAAAGTCATGTATGGCGGTCGCTTTTACAGATTGACACTGAATCATTGGGCCCGTCTCGAAACTCTGATGAACGACGCTAGAAGATGTATTTCGGGCCTTCCGAGACAAACAAGACTGGAAGAACTACACAAATGCGTGCCATTTCCGTCGCTGAAAGAATTGGCCTCCACGCAGGAACAAGCACAAAGAGTCAAGATGCAACACACCAAGCAAGGCAGAGAAATCGCCAAACTACTTGGTTGGAAACTCGAGAACAATACACCCATACCAGACCAACTACCACCATGGGAGAGGATCGACATAGCCCAATCGGCCCCTATACCACGAAAAATGAACAGCGACAAAAACAAAGAAAGACGGCGACACAAGGCAATGAAGCACGCCGAGGAAGTAAAAGCCATCATCCATTGTAACGACTCACATACCATTGTCTGCTACCCCGACGCATCCTTCAGTGAACGAGGAAATGCTGCTCTTGCGTGGTACGTTGAAAACACGAAAACTACTTGCACAAAACATGCACCGTACTGCAGAACAGCGCAAGAGGCTGAGATCACGGCCATTGAAGAGGCCCTGAATGCACTAGGACAAGAAGCCCAATGCGGCACGAGCATCATCATGTTCACAGACTCCCAAGACGCCATCCGTTCACTGAAGACGCATCAAGAAACGGGCAAGGCGATTCGAAATATTACGACTACGGCCATCAAGCTAAGGATGCGCGACATCCGAGCCTCGGTACGCTGGATCCCGGGTCACGAAGGGATCGAGGGCAACGAGATAGCCAACGAGGCAGCAGGAGAGTTAACTCGTTCCTTCCTCCGCTGCCTTCAATGCCACTCCGAAGCTTCTGCGCCCTCTCGAACCCATCAAAATCCACCACAAATGTCACAACCAATCGAGTCTTCAAAGTGCGAACCTGACGGCTTTTACGACCCTTTTTGGGAAATTAAAGCAGCCAGGATCGCTCTGAAGAAAAATATCGACAAGCACAAAGACGTGGCACGGGAAAGCCTTCCCAAAGGATTCCGAAGACACGAATCCGTCCTGCTAAGAAGACTCCAAGCAGGAGCTGCAATCACTCCATCAATAACAAAGAAATGGGCGGACGCTAAAAAGAAGAAGAAGAATCCGGACTTTGTACCAAAACCAGACCAGTGCAAGTACTGCCTAGAGAATCTCAGGGCAGACACTCAACACTTGGTCTGGGAATGTTCAAAGCTCGACCAAGAACGCAATGACGCCCTGGGAGCGCTCAACCATGAAGACAAACCTTCAACACTCGACGAATGGGTAAACCCGGCAGGAGACTCAGAACGACGCAGCCTCATCCTCCGATCGCTGGTCGACTTTCTGAAGACGGCCGACCTCGGCAGAGACTTGTAGCTGCCACAATTACAACCCTACGCGCTTCCATCATCGAAATAACCCCCTCCCCTCTGGCCCTACCATAGTGTAAACCGCCAGCTGAATTTCATTCTTAATAAACGTTGTCTGACCTGACCTGACCTGACCTGTAAGCGGTATGCTTGGCTTCATACTTGACACGGAAGTTATCCGTGTCAGGTATCGGTCCAGCGTATGCTGAAATTGATATGGACTAGCGTGCATCTAAAATCGAATTAGCCCACACATATAAAACGCATAGTAAAAACTCACTTTTTTCTTTATTGGTACATGCAACAGCACTCATTCTTTTTTCTCAGTCATGCAGGATTTCGTCAGCAGTGTTGCTTTCACAGGGAAAGTTGGGAAGGATGTTACGGCATATACATGAAAGAACTGTGCCCCTGGGCTTTCTCCAACAAAGCCACCTGAATGAGCTAACCCTTCAATGGTATCCTGTATATATGTATACATATATGTACCGTAAAGTTGCAAGAGAACGCTCGCCCACGAGGCGTCGCGCATCCTGTTTTTTTTGGTTAAATATCTGTAACATAAAAATTCCGAAACATCACCCACGCCCGATTTCCGTCGGACAACACGCAATGTCCGACGGGAATCGCATCAACCGCGCAATCTGCTGTACCGGCACGTCAGACAACCAAGTTTATAGCGGAGTCCCGCGTTTTTGTACGCGATCTGCGTGTGCGATCTCCATTCAATGCGAGTTGGGCCCGCGTGTACTATATTGCAACGTGAAATATGATTTTGCTGCGTTCGCGATCTGCGGTATTTGTTCCCGTAACATACGACTTTGTAGCGGACTCGTGCCTTTTTGTCCGCGATCTCCGTGTGGGATATCGGTTCCTGCGACAGGCAAGTTTGTAGCGGGTTCCCGCGTGTTTATCGGATCGTGAAACGCGAATTCGCGCTCTCCGCGATTTGAGGTATCAGCTTTCGCGTCACGTAGTTTGTAGCCGGTTTTTAATAAAGTTTTGGTGTGGCGTCCCCAACGATAGCCACCCTATGTTTTTCACCCTTTATCTCTTCATTTTGTTTGGGGTTCTTTCGGAACTTTACGGTATATGTAAGTAACGTGAATTGTGTTTGTTAAATTCATGCCTAGATCTTAAATTAAAAAAAAAAACGGTGGGCCCCTGATTAAGAGATTGGTTGGACGTCGTTTTAATATTTATTTTCCCCAACCAGACAGACTTCTGCTAATGTTTACATTCAAACGTTAAGCCTCCACCCCTCAGAGGTGCTTTCATTTTTTTAATCCTTTAAGTACTACAGGGCGCTTACAACTCTTGATCACCACTACCTGTGGTTAATTACAAGTAAATGGGATGGGAGCAACACCCGTGGCCCAACTTATATAAGTTAACTTAATGACTTTGATTGCCCTAACTACTACTGTCATTAGTTTTCTTCCTGCGGAAATTAGCTAGCTAACGTAATATTCCAAGAGATTCCCCACCCCCAAAAGATAACCCGCCCGTAATTTTGATATGATTTGTAATTTTCTCAAAAATACAGATAGCCCACATCCAGTAATTGCAGGGCCCTGGCCAGCGGTGACATTGGCAAAAATCTTGTTACTTAACCACGGCAGGAGATAGACGAACGTTGCTGACTGATGACAGTCGTCTTCGGTTTATCTACCCTCCCTGTGATTGCAAGTTTCGCAGGTCACAAAATCTAAAACTAGCATATTTTAAAACTTTTTTTGATCGCACATAGAAAGCGAGTCTACGCCTTATTTTCACCCGGTTTATTTTCAATTTTAGGTCGACAATCTCTCGGGATATTACGGTACTGTCTTTTCAAATGAATCAAAAGAAAAAACCTCACCAAAAAACACCTGTTCTAAAAAAATATAAGCCTTTAAAAGCTTAATTTTCATTAGGAGACCCGAAGGGCACAGGAGGTGTCAGGGGCACCTGTGGGCACTTTTCAGCCTTTCAAGGTCGATTGTTCTCGCTTAAGAAGTTCGAAAGATGACAGCGGGCTTTGCCGATCCGGTCGTCATCGGGAACAGTGGTCTTGCGCTTCTTCACATGGTGAGATAAGCCATCTACGAAAATAGAAGGGACAATTTCATCAAACACAGGAAATTCTAAATCTTTTGGAATTATAATTTTAACAATTGTCTCAAAAGCACAGAACGGTTTTTTCACTGAATAAAAGAAGGGGAACAAAATACAAAAATAATGTCTAAAGAGACCAGGGTTGTCCATGGAGGCTTGTAAAAATTATCATGAGCTTCATTATTAGTTTAGTGATTATTTTCTGGATACAAGGTTGAGGGCTCTAAGCGACATGAAAAATCTGCATTATATTGAATGCATTATGGGCAGGCCTTCATTTCCAGATAAACCCCGATATTTTTTTTTTTTTTGTAATTTTCGAAACCCGAATGGGTTTTATGGAAGTCGGGTTAATCCCAACTTTCTTCTGAAAGCCCGCCTAGCTTGGAGGTGAAAACCAGTTAAACGAATGAAATTTATTATACATTGCGGAAACATTTCAGAAGCACCTTATGGTCCCCCCAAAAAAAGAAAAAAAAGAAACAAGGAACCTAATTATGGTCATACTTGAGCATCTGCTTTTCTTGCGTCAAGATTTGCGAGCGATGAAGTAAATAAATAGAGTTTGAAAACTGGAGACAACGAAATCGGCCCCTAGTTGACGCGCCCCAAGGAGTGAGACAACCGTCCTAACATTGGAGGGGCCGCATAATGTATAGAAAAATCCTTATTTTTGCTTGAATTCGTCATTACATTTCGCTCATAACTTCTAAAACAATGTGAATTTTGCGGGAAAAATATTTTCTTCGTGTTACTATTTTGCCCGAGATAAGCCTCGTCGCAAGTTTCAGACCAATCAAAACATTGTTGGAGAGGCCGTGTAAAGAGATACTGAAGCGAAATGTTTATTTCCCAAAAAGGCCGTAGGACCGTTCACAGGAGAGCTGCAAACCCCAAGACATCAATTTTACAACAACATCTTGAACGAATGGCTTTACTTTTGAAAAAGAAAGATGCAATTGAGCGAGGCTGGCAGGCTGTCCGACGTCATGTCACAAAGCTCCTCCGAAGCTTGCCTGGGGACGGAAGACAAGGCCAAGGAGCACGGTAACGTGATGTCAGCTTAGCTTAATTGCGTTTTACTTTTGCCAAAAATACAGCCATCCGTTCGACATATGGATCTATATTGTTATAAATGTTGTGCCTTAGGGTTTGTAGCTTCTAATTGAGCGCTCCCACTGTCTTCTTAGCTGAAATTCAGATTTCTGTTCAGTATTCCTTTCAGCACACTACATAAGGTGCTCTTTCATTATTGGGAACACAGTGCTGCCCTTTTTTCCTGAATCACTCTCTTGGCGGCTCTGAGAAAGTAAATATGTCGGCCAATAGACAGAGCCGCGAGAGTTCACAATCAGCTGAGTTTGTGAGATTTAAAAAAAGGGTAATTTCTTTGGCAGCCATCCTGCAAAGACTGAGGTATATTCTGTACAAGACTTGATTTTCGAGAGGACCTAAATTTCGTGAATCACCTACAATTCGCAAAAATTGGTCCCGCGAACAATTCCGGTAAAATGTAAACACATTGGAATCTGTATTGAGATCCCACCGCGTCGCGACATTTAGAACCCGCGAATTATTCCAAACCCCAACTTTGACCTAAATCACGAAATCTTGAGTTCGCAAAAAATACGTCGTTTATAGTATACCCTCAGAGATGATGTCTGAAAATAATATTTGAATATTTTATTACCATTTTATTCACAAAAAAAAAAACTTTTTAAATGAAGAAAATAAAGAGTGGAAAGTGTTTCTTTTTTAATGCGAAAGCATTAACAGTCCCATAAAGTGGAGCCGGCGTTGTTTCAAACCGTGAAAAACGCCGAAAAAATTCCCTCCGCAGAGCGGCTTTTAAAACGGCTGCGGCACGGGCAGCGCCCCGGATTATTCTGAATAACACAAGCGCACAGAGCAGTGCTGCCACGCGCCGCCGCAGCAGCGCACAGCTACCGCTCCCCAGAACCAGGCCGGCCGGTGTCTGCAGAGGGCCAGCCGAGCAGCCTGTGTGGATGGGTTGGAACAAAAAGCCCTAACAATGGCACGTGATCCCCCATCGCTGGTGGTAGCTAGGACGAATCCCCAATCAGGTTGTGCTAATCTATCTACACTAAGAAGAAAGCTGCAATGTCACCATTGCAACATTGTTATTCACTCTCATTCTTCACCTTTCTTCGCAGTCATCTTTTGTCTCTTCATAACATGAAAACAATAAGCCAACTAAAATATTAAAGCAATCCCTTCCCCATATACCGCTAAAACAAGACAAATGCAGACCATACTTTGTGTCACTTTAGCCTGTAATATTGTTGACCGTTCCTGCTAAAAAGCGCGAGCTAAATGCTTTAGATCACGTGCCAGCAGCTCAACAAGTGCTCGTGCAGCGGCTGCTCCAGTCAAGGCTACCCGCTCGCGCTTACACAGCCTCTGCAGTTAGTTCATGCTGAGGCAAGACAAAGTATATTGCCATTTACACATCCAACGTGGCAAAACATGTCAGCATGTCAGCATGTCAACATGTCAGCTCCGAGTGGTCTATAAAACCAATATAATGATCGATGCCAAACCTGCCAATTGCTGCATAGTTTGGAGCTGGGAGGGGACATGCAGCAAGGCACGCACCTTTGATTGCATGCACTTTGGCTAGTGTGATGGGCTTTCTTTTCACGGCGCCATACTTTAGGTTGTACCTGGAGGACTGGCCCTCACACTCCTGTTGACCAGGTCCTCGTCCTTGTAGGGGCACCGGGTCAACAAGATTCAGCACTGAAAGTCAGACTTGGCTTTTTCCATGGCCCAGTTGAACTTTTCTTCGGGTAGAGAAACCCCACCTCCGAGGTAACGCTGCAAGTGTAAACATAATCTTACATAAACAGGTGCTCAAGCAAGCTTTAATACAGGTATAGTGCCTGGACGTATTCCCCCACTGGTGTGATTACCATCCTCTTCTTCTCATGCATTAGGAGTGGCCCCATAGTGGCAACAAAGGCTGTTACAGAACCGGAATTGTCATGCTGTCGAATGTTGAGATCCTGACAGTTGGTCTTCAAACTTCTGGTGAATAAGTCAAGCAGGTACAAGTGCCGCTGTCGTCATGGCATCCTAACTTCTGACCGTGAAGTGACTGTGGACTGTCGACGCACCAAAAAGAATGGTGCGGTAAGCACACCAGATGGAGACATATCCAGGCACCGTAATACAAGGCACTTTCAGAGGTCCTGCCAACCCAAAATGATTTGTTGGCCTGTAGACCATCAAATCAATACATGGCTCCTCATAACAGCTTTAAAGAGAAACTCCGCTTCATTTTTAGTTTTCAAAAAGCAATGCAGACATCTTTCGTATCACGTCGGATATCCCCACATCAAATATTGCGACGTAGTTCCGTCTAAATTATTAAACTGTCAGGCAAACTTTGCAACTCACCAAGTTGCCGAAATTGGCTGACTCGAGCGGGCAATTAAGGCGCAACCGACAGTGCAGTCAAGGCCACGGCGTGAGCGAAGCCATCATAGAGCTAAACGTCGGCATCATTGCCCCCTTGTGCTTCTTTTTACTTCAACGGGCAAGCGTAACGGATGACGTAAGCATAGTTTTCTCGCGGCACTCTGCGCTGTCCGCGTCATGGGCGTAACGCGCATGCGCTGCGCGCTTCTTTGGTGGTGGTCCCGCTGTGGACTCGTTGTTACCACCGTCTCCCGCGTCACAACGCAATCGTCGACTCACCGTTCGTGATTATTGCATCTCGGAGTTTCATCGACACTACGAACACTATGTGTGCAGACTGATGCAGCAGTTGTGCAGACGTCGTCGAATGTCGTAGACACCCCAACGTGGTCAAGAGTGTGGCTCAGGCAACACTTGCGCCTGGCACAGGCCTGCCCCAATCCTGCCCGTCGTTGCGTACGGGATTACGTGACATTTTTTGCAACGTGATAGCAATCTTCTTGGCGGCCCGAGGCCAATGTTGCCGGACGGAGCCGAAGTTTCGGTTTTAATTTGCGCTCGTTTTAAAATTAAATTAAAATATATATCCCATTTTTCGCAAAGCAAATGAGATTATGGCTTTTTAATGCGAAATTGAGCTAATGCGAAATTTAATACGGAATTGAGCGGAGTTTGCCTTGGGATATATATTTTTAAATCTAATTTTAACACAAGCAGAAATCAAAACCCAAACTTCGGCTCCGTCCGGCAACATCAGCCTCGGGCCGCCAAGAACGTTGCTATAACGTGGTACAAGATGTCACGTGAATCTCAACGCAACGACGGGCGAGATTGGTGCAGGCGTGAGACAGGTTCAACTGTCCTCTCCAAAACACTAAGGTTCACACGAGCACCGAGTTTTGTTAAATTTATTGACTGACTTAGTGATTTTCGTAAAGGCAGTAATTTTATAACAGGAACTATGCCTATTTTTAATATTAAAAATTTACTCAAAAAAAATTTAAAACTGGTTGAATGTCTGCTCATTTGGCCAAACACATTTAATAACCATATACTGCATTAAGTTTTTATATGGACCAAAATTTATTCTGTGCAGGTATAGACATTTCTTTTAATTGTTTTAATTATATGGAAATGGGAGATTTAAGGGTGTCTAGCAAATTATCATTCTTGAATTCCCTTACTTTTCCGGGTTTTCCCCGACAATTAAAGCAGAAATTCCATGACCTCTGTAGAGGTGGTTAATTATATAAGACCATTACAACACAAGGCATTGAGCATTGTGAGGATCATTTTGCACGGGCTTAATTCAACTTGCATATTCCGAAATATTCGGGTTAGTTCAGTTAGGATTAAATGGGCACTTTCTCGCCGCCGACGTCGTCAGTGAAGAGGCCACTTCCGTAAACACTATGAAAGCATGACGCTCAACCACACTAGTCAATAACCGAATGGCAGCATGTCCTACAGATGCACAGTTTCGGAAACTTTCGGATACTTTCGGCTTGGATTGGATTGGGGTCTGCGGCTTTTCCATTTCTTACTATATCTAGTACAAGTAGGGGTGTCGCGAACCGGCCAAGGTTCGAGTTCAACCAGGTTCGACTTTTTTGAGCTTTTAGTGAAAAATTCGACGAACTTTGTATTGAGGTTCGACTGGTGTGTTTTTGCGAAGGCTTTCAAAAATCCAAAAACTTAAAATGTGTAAAAAAAAAAAAAGAACTTTCTTTAGGAACAAACTACCAGCCAGGAGGAACGTCAGGAGTCGGCAAAACATACTAATTAGCCAGCTAATTAATTAAAGCTTGTTAAATAACTTTTTAAGTAGTGTAAATAGACATATGGTTCCAATTAGTAAGTTGCTGAGCGTTATCGAAAACCCCTAAATCAGTCATGTTCAGAAAGACTTTGAGCGCGTGAGAAGAGCAGTAGCGCACTAATGTTACAACTTTTGGAGCAGGTACAAGGCTAGCGGTTGCGGTAAGGCACCCGCGCTATTTTCCCCCCTCTTATCTAGCCCCAGCCTTGTACCTGCTTCACCAGTGGTAACTTTAGTGGGCTACTACTCTTCACACGCGATCAAAGTCTTTCTGCAAATGTCTGATCTAGTGGTTTTCGATAACGCTGAGCAACTTTCTAATTGGAGCTATATGCCTATTTTCACTAATTAAAAAGTTAATTAACAAGTTTTAACTATTTAGCTGGTTCATTAGTTTGTTTTTCGCAATTCCTGACGTCCGCCGTGGCTAGTAGTTTGTGCCCGAAGACAGTTTCTTTTTTTTTTTTTGTTGAAACGCCCTAATTTTTTATGATTTTTGAAATTCTCTTTCTATATATATATATAACTACTACTCGCGACGAAAAAAAGGCTTGTGGCATTTTGGTCCTTGACCAGGGGCCCATTTAGGAAAATTATTAAACTCCGGGATAATTAAGTTGTTAATTATTTTTGCCTAATTAACTTTTTAATAATGTGTATAAGGGCATGGTTTAAATTAGAAAATTGCTCAGCATCACTGAAAAACACTAAATCAACAAATTGCAGAACGATAGAAGGCACGCGAAGCATTTTACGACTTTCTGAGAAACCGCACAAATTCGACCGGTTTTTAAGTTAAGGCCCCGGCGGCACAGCGCCCCATGGAGAGATAGTTCAACCAGACTCTGCTGCGTCGCGCGATGACAGCGCAGCAGAGGTTGGTTGCGGTGATTGATTCATTGACTATGTTTTTAATTCTTGAATAGTTAAAACGATAGCTACTGGCTTGTGGGTGTGAGCCTCTAACGAAATGGCTATACCAACCCTGCAACGCGAAACAAAGCCAGTATCAAAGAACAAAGTTTGCCCAGCAAGGCACTCTTGATCGGGGTGATGAGCTAGCTGGGCTCCGCTTCTGAGTGAACTGGGCACTGCTAGCACCATTGGCACGTTTGCTGGTATTTCTGTCAGCGGGAGCACGGGCTGAGCGTGCACGGGCGAGCAGCAGAAAGGAGGAAATTAAGAGCATTGGATGAGCACCACTGCCACGAGCCAGTTCTCTGGTCACACGGATGAGTGCCGCCATCTAGTGTTTGAACTAATGGCTTGCTCAAGATGGCCGCCGTGGAACCGCCGCCTTAAGTCAAACCTGTTTATATCGAAATCGCAAAAAAAAAAAGTCTGCCAGTTCGATATATCGGCTAATTTTATATAAAAGCTTTAGTGAATTTGACGTAAAACAAGCACGCCACATTTAGAAAAATTGGTTACTCTTGAAGTAGCGTCTCTACGTCATGAGGGACGCTCTCCACGGCTATTTAGTGGCCGCTGTGTTTTTCAAAGTCTCATCGGCTCACCCTCACCCCACTTCCTTCGCAAACGATAATTCATTTCTTCTTCTGCGCGGCTTACGCGGTTGACAAAAAGAAAAAAAAAAAAGAAAAAAAGCCAGCTTTCTTTGCTAGCTGGCTTCCCCCCAACGTATGGTCTCGTTGGGGGAAAGCCAGCTAGAAGAGCAAAACGGCGCTCTTGGCAGTTTGATCTATTCGGAGATGCTGCAATCTTCGCTCAATGTAACCGCATTTCTTGCTATGCATTGTTATTGCAGCTAATGGTCTCTTCAGAAATAGTTCGATACAAGGTATAGTTTGAATTATTGGGGTTTGACTGTAGCCCTAAATAGAAAATACACATCACAATCACATGTTAATTTGTTGCAATAGTGAACTTATTAAGGTGCAACTGAGAACAATTACCAAGGACCCTATTGATATATCAACCCAAAATAAGTGAGCCAAAAAATTTGCCGCCTTAATTCTGACTACCTTCTAAATGTCAACTCTGTGTGGAAATTGGCACAGCTAGCCTGCTCTGGGCTCACCCAAAACTGACAGTGCTTTCGTCGAAACAATCAAAGGTCTATTTGATTGTTTCAAGCAATCTCTGATTGAATGACTTCATTCTGTGCATGTGAGTCTGCAGGGGGTGGGGGGGTTGATCATGTGTTTTAAATTTGACAGTTGACTGGACCAACGAGCACACAGCTTCTACGGCCCAGTCAGCGTAGGGGCGAATGGAGTAATGGCCACGCGAAATCAACGGTACCTCGCGGCTAGGACACAAAACTCTCAGGGTAGGTGCACAAACGTGTCAGGGTGGGTTTATTCGACAGTCGACAAAAGGTAAGCAAATATTCACAGCACCTTGCGGTCTAAGCGGAAAGCCGCGAAAGTAGATTCGAGAACGCCTCACGGAAATTGCCAATAACTCTGGCCCAGCTCCAGGTTGACCACATAATATGGTGACAGAGGTGATCTATCCAACATTTCAAGAACATTAGTGTTCACTGAATATAATGAATCAGGCCACATACGTTTCTACGTATGCACATAAATTCATAAATATGTTGCTTTATTGTTTCCTTGCCTTATTTGAAATTTCGTTTCGAAATTGCCATTTAACCTGCATCATGCCAATGCATGTGAATTCGTCAGTTTACTTTCTCAGGATTACCCAGCTATTTTTTCTACCTTATTGTTTGCCTAAAGACAGTTATTTTTTATGTTATTATGAACACAAAATTAACAATGAATATAAATGATGATCGCCTCTGCCTACTTGCTTTATTTGATCTTCCTAAAATAAACAACAGGGCTTTATAACACCCTTCGGAACTGACGGCAGAACAAGGTCTGTCATGACATCTGTAAAGTTTAAACATGACCGGGGGAAACTTGAGCACACTGCCGCATGGTTGAAGCATTGCTCACAGAAAGACGGAAAAGAATTGTCTTATGGAGCCTGTCACCGTACTTTCGAGCTGAGCTAGAAGTGACTTAAGCATTAAAAAAGCGTGTAATCAGTCAAATTGTCGACAATGAGAAGTTCTTTTACGCCCCTGCAATGAAGGACCCAGAAAAATTAAGATTTAAACCTTAATATAAGTCGAACCCCATTTGCCTTTGCGCAAACATATCGTAGAAGCCTCAAAAGCGGTTTGGTGCAGGTGATAGTTTGCAGTCTGGAGATGTGTTCTCAACCAGTGAAAGTGTTCTTTTTTGCAAAGCACGAAACATTGGTGTAACATGTTTCTTTAAGAACTACTGCTTCTTGACATCAGGTACAACCGCGGCCGCCAAGAGCTGAAACAACAGGTATGTCTTTTGGCGCTATCAGCACCGCCTGGCACATAGCTCCATAAACACTGGCGCCGACGCAGAGACAAACCACCTCCTGCGCTCGTGCCACAGCGCCCTTCCGGCTGTCTGGTAGCGCGACGGCGGGTGTGGTATTGAGTGCGAAGCCAACAAGGTCACACTTGTCATTATCCCTAAATATGAATCGAGAGCTGCGTGTGAGCCACTTATTGCAAACAAATTTTTGCACAAATCGACGCTCTGCGCAAAAGTACTGCAGAGCTTGTTTTGACTAAATTTTGCAAACGGTTTCATGTATAACTTTTGCCATTCGAGATAACCAAGCATCGCGCTGTGGAGCCAAGGTCTACTTCATTCCCTCAATCTCAACACCTGCCTGTTGTCATATGGGATGACCAATATACCGGCTGCCATGCACCACTGCTGTGTTATGCCTGTTAAAGCATTCCCCAGCTAAATTTTTCATTCACAATGCAGCGGCAGAAACGCCGATTCTAAGGGCACATTGGTGAACGCTCCAGAAAGGCTTAATCATGCAGTTGCTTGCGGAAGAAAGTTAGATTCACCCAAATAAAAATCAAGCTGGTAAATAACAATTTAATTTTTCTTTTCACTGGCAAAAAAAGAGAGGCGAATTTTCTAAAAATTTGACTTTCACAGTGTCTATAGACGTTCGCTCCATGGTGCACTTATCGTAACGGGGATTGGAACGGCGTAACGAGCGCAGCAGTAAATCTGTATCGGCCCCACCGTGCACAAGTGTTTGCCAAGTGATACGACAAACAGCACTAAGAGCCCGAGCACAAGGTGTTATGGCGTTTCGGCTCATATTCGGCGTTCCTCTGTAACCACAGTCTATTTCTGCTCGGTGGAGAAAACTGATAAGTGCAGCTGTATACAAAGCTACGCCTGTGACGATAGCCCAAGCGATCTTCAGTAAACAGAGGTCAAAAAAGACTAATTAAATTTCTGCATGTTGACAACAAGCAAGACAAAGTTAGAAACAATTGAAAACCATTTAACTGAGTTAGTAAGGACTGTTGAGTATGTGCAAACAGCACTTTACTCTTTAATCATTAGGGCGATTCCTTGTAGGTGTTAAGTATTGTAACACTCTGTGCAGACGTCCGTGATTGAGACATTTTTCCGTCAGTCTTGTCATTATTATGATGAGTGGTGTCTTTCTTCATATAGAAGCAACCTTTTTTCCATATACTTCATTTTGTATTTTCCGAATAAAGATACCATGCTCTCAAATTATGCACCATGAAGTCATAATGATGGCTACAAATAAATGGCAGAGTTTGGCATGTTTGGGAGCAAAATAAAACAACTTACTGCACACGGATGTCAGCTTTTCAGGAGTAAGTACCCTCTTCGGTTGGGTAGTTTTAAAGATGGCAGCGGGCTTTAGCAATCCATTTGTCATCGAGGACAGCGGTCTTCCCGTTCTTCACGTAATGAGATAAGCCAGCTGCAAAAAAAAAAAAGAAGAGACAATCATCAAACACAGAAAATTCTAAATCTTTTTCGAATTATATTTTAACAAGACTGTCTCAAAAGTGCAGAACAAATGTTTTTTTTTTCACTGAGTAAAATAAGGCGAACAAAAAAAGAACATCTAAAGATAGCAGGGTATTCATGGGGGAATCTAAAAAAAAATTGTTTTATTATTAGTCTACCCTATTGGAAAAACGTACAAGAAACAAACCTGCTGCTTGTACAGTTCTGGTATGACACCACCGTAATTTCTTTGTGTTACGCATGCAACTAGTTTGGTTTGGCGTTCTGCATAACTGGAGATACCGGCACCGCTATGGCTCCGGGTCTGTCTATACTGGCAGCCACTTTGCTTGCCGATATGATTCGGTGTGGCTGGTATGATTTTGCGTCCGATGACGTAGGCGACTGCCGTCGTTCCAACAAAAACGCTTATACCACGGGACCACCGGTATAACCAAATCATACATGCAGAAAGACGACCGCCATCTTCCAAAAAAAACGTCCATCGTTCACCACCGCTATCGTTACATACACCATACATGTCGAAAAAGAACATAAGCCACGTTTACACGAATGCGACTTAGTCGTATTGAATCCAGTTGCCGCATTCAATATGCGGTCATGTAAACGGCTTAATGCGCAAAGCGCATCGCATTTTGGAACGGGGAGGATTATCGGAAGGCGCTCGCTGCGGGAGCGAGTGAACAGCTGAGAACATGGCGGCGGCCAACCTCGTCGGCGGCGCGGAGAGCGGTCCCGCAATTTTTTTCCCGAGAACGCAAGCTTTTATTGCGATCATAAGTAAGCGGAATATAGCGGAGCTGCTCGGTGAGGGCGGCCCCGTCCAAACCTTTGCGAAGTACGACTTGCGCGTCCGAAGGGGTCACAAAGGCTTCGGTGCAAGCACGAATGACACCGAGAGCTCCGAGCACTGTAGAGCACTGCGAGGTAGCGCAGAACGAGCAGCTCCTACCTCGGTGCAGTTCCTGGCTCCGCAAGAGCCTCTCGGACTCGGGGTCCGGTTGGTCTGGTCGCGATCGGCGAGGTCTAGCGCGGCGAAACGCGGAGGCTTCCTCAAAGCGTGCACACACACGTCGCCTCTCGTTCAGAGTGAACCGGCGGCCCGGCCTGGAGTCCTTAACGCCTTCCGTCTCCCAACTTCTTCCACAGCACCGAAGACAGCGGGCACGATCTTTACGTTCACTGAATGCGTCGAAAGGACTCCACGTGCGATGCACCGGAAAACGTGGTGCGGCTGGTGCCGGAACGGAACTGCATAACTTCGAGCTTTGAGTCAACGTGCACGGCAACAAACCGATCGTGACACCAAGCCACGGATACCTCATCGCCGGTCGACAGCGGCAAACGGCCCGTTGCTCGTATCGTGGGCCGTGACTCGTACTCGGCCAACTTGGCGTCTTTTCGTGGCCCCTCGCGTCGTCGCAGCCAGCCACAAACCCGACAAACCCACCAGCCCGAAACCGTAGCGACCGTAGCCTGCGTTGGAGAAAAGCGAAACCGAAACTTAAAGCTTCCGCCCAGTGGTTTCCGCTGCCGCGGGTTTTCTAGCTTCGCGGCTTCCACTTCCGGTCGTCGCGGAGATGGCGAAGATAGAGCGGTGTGGGGTTCGTTGGCTCGTTTACGGTTACGGGACAGATGTTTTGCGGTCCGTTTCTACTGCGTCTCTGGCTCTCAACTGGACGGCACCTCTCATAGTTCAACCAGGCGTGGTCAGCCTGCGTCAGGCCGGCTCGACTCGTCCGATCGCCGGACCGCAGGCGACTTCCAAGTACGGCCGTTAGGCCTAGGATCCGTGAAACGGTAAGCGAATCTCGTCCCGTTTTCGTTCTACTTTTAAATTACGTTAGGTGCGCTACAGTATAAGCATGCGTGCCAAGTGTTCGTGACAATTTTGAACTAGAATAATTGTGCTTTATTGCGGTCATTTGCCGAAAATGTAAATCGAGCAATGAACGAGGAGCCATGCTTGAAAACGGTGTATGTACGATGTTAACTTCTACCTGGGCGGCTAAGAAAAAAAAAAAAGACTGGTTACGGTTGGAAGCGAGGCTGGTCCCAATGCAATGGTAAGCACTTAGAGCGCCTTTTTGAACGGCATGTTAGCAATATAGCGATCAACGAGACGAGCGACGGCGGGAAGCTACGAGAGCCGGCGCCGAGCGCCGAAGATTTCTCACTCTCGCTGCTTGCGCCGCTCGGTTCTTGGGCTTCTAGAAAACGTCGCTCATCGCCTCGGTCGCTCGCACTAATCGCTTTCATAATGTGTGTCTCGTCGCGCGGCTGACTGCCGTGTTTATTCAATATAAATCGACCTTTTTTTTTTTTTTTTTTTTTTTTTCGGAAATTGTGACTAAAGAATTTCGACACCTACATTCGCGACCAAATTTTGCGACCCTACCGGAGGCATGAAGCTACCCTATTGGAAAAACGTACAAGAAACAAACCTGCTGCTTGTACAGTTCGGGTATGACACCACCATACTTTCTTGTTATTATGTATGCAGCTAGTTTGGTTCGGCTTTCTGCATAACTGGAGATACCGGCACCGCTATGGCTCCGGGTCTGTCTATACTGGCAGCCAGTTTGCTTGCCGATATGATTCGGTGTGCTGGTATGATTTTGCGGCCGATGACGTAGGCGACCGCATCTTTCCAACAAAAAACGCTTATACCACACCACCACCGTTATATCCAAATCATACATGCAGAAAGACGACCGCCATCTTCCAACATAACGTCCATCGTTTACCACCGGTATCGTTACATACACCATACATGTCGAAAAAGAACATAAGCCGCGTTTACATGAATGCGACTTAGTCGTATTGAATTTAGTTGCCGCATTCCATATGCGGTCATGTAAACGGCATAATGCGCAAAGCGCATCGCATTAAAGTCGCTAGACAGAGGTGGATCGAGATGTCGAGTGCGCATTCATTCAGCCCATGTAAACGGAGATCGGATCGCATTTTGGAACGGGGAGGATTATCGGAAGGCGCTCGCTGCGGGAGCGAGTGAACAGCTGAGAACATGGAGGCGGCCAATCTCGTCGGCGGCGCGGAGAGCGGTCCCGCAATTTTTTTCCCGAGAACAAACGCAAGCTTTTATTGTGATCATAACTACCCTATTGGAAAAACGTACAAGAAACAAACCTGCTGCTTGTACAGTCCTGGTATGACACCACCATAATTTATTGTTATTATACATGCAGCTAGTTTGGTTTTGCGTTCTCCATAACTGGAGATACCGGCACCGCTATGGCTCCGGGTCTGTCTATACTGGCAGCCGGTTTGCTCGCCGATATGACTCGGTATGGCTGGTATGATTTTGCGTCCGATGACGTAGGCGACCGCCATCTTTCCAACGAAACGCCTATACCACAAGACCACCGGTATAACTAAACCATACATGCAGAAAGACGACCGCCATCTTCCAACAAAAAACGTCCATCGTTTACCACCGGTATCGTTACATACATCATACATGTCGAAAAATAACATAAGCCGCGTTTGCATGAATGCGACTTAGTCGCATTGAATCCAGTTGCCGCATTCAATATGCGGTCATGTAAACGGCATAATGCGCAAAGCGCATCGCATTAAAGTCGCTAGACAGAGGTGGATCGAGATGGCGAGTGCGCATTCATTCAGCCCATGTAAACGAAGATCGCATCGCATTTTGGAACGGGGAGGATTATCGGAAGGCGCTCGCTGCGGGAGCGAGTGAACAGCTGAGAACATGGTGGCGGCCAACCTCGTCGGCGGCGCGGAGAGCGGTCCCGCAATTTTTTTCCCGAGAACAAACGCAAGCTTTTATTGCGATCATAAGTAAGCGGAATTTAGCGGAGCTGCTCGGTGAGGGCGGCGCCGTCCAAACCTTTGCGAAGTACGACTTGCGCGTCCGAAGGGGTCACAAAGGCTTCGGTGCAAGCACGCATGACACCGAGAGCTCCGATCACTGTAGAGCACTGCATGGTTGCGCAGAACGAGCAGCTCCTACCTCGCTGCCGTTCCTGGCTGCGCAAGAGCCTCTCGGACTCGGGGTCTGGTCGCGATCGGCGAGGTCTGGCGCGGCGAAACGTGGAGGCTTCCTCAAAGCGTGCACACACACGTCGCCTCTCGTTCAGAGTGGACCGGCGGCCCGGACTGGAGTCCTAAACGCCTTGGTTTTGATGCTTCTTCCGTCTCCCAACTTCTTCCACAGCACCGAAGACAGCGGGCGCGATCTTTACGTTCACTGAATGCGTCGAAAGGCCTCCACGTGCGATGCACCGGAAAACGTGGTGCGGCTGGTGCCGGAACGGAACTGACGGAACTGCATAACTTCGAGCTTTGAGTCAACGTGCACGGCAACAAACCGATCGTGACACTAAGCCGCGGATACCGCATCGCCGGTCGACAGGGGCAAATGGCCCGTTGCTCGTATCGTGGGCCGTGACTCGTACTCGGCCAACTCGGCGTCTTTTCGTGGCCCCTCGCGTCGTCGCAACCAGCCGCAAACATACCAGCCCGCGACCGTGGCCGATGTCGGAGAAAAGCGAAACCGAAACGTAAAGCTTCCGCCCAGTGGCTTCCGCTGCCGCGCCTTTTCTAACTTCCCGGCCAGTCCCGGTTTACACGCTTCCGGTCGTCGTGGAGATGGCGACGCAGCCAGACGTAGCGGTTTTGGCGCTGGCTCCTTCTGCGTTTTACGGGACAGATGTTTTACGGTCCGTTTCTACTGCGTCTCTGGCTCTCAACTCGACGACGCCTCTCATGGTTCAACCAGGCGTGGTCAGCCGGGGTCAGCACAGCTACCGGCTCAACTCGTCCGATCGCCGGACCGCAGGCGACTTCCGATTTCGGCCGTTAGGCCTAGGATCCGAAGGACTCTGTTTCCGTGCAGCGGTAAGCGAATCTCGTCCCGTTTTCGTTCTACTTTTAAATTACGTTAGGT